GCTATGCTTCCTAACTGACTTTGGATAAGCCCAGAAAATGTACAGCTCACAATGAAGATTGAATTTCCTTCAGCAGTTTTCCCGTCTACTTTGTGTATTTAATGTTCCTTGTGTTTTTCAAAGCATTTCTGCTTGTAAATGAAAGCTCCCTTCTGAAAATGGCTTCTGTCATCTTAATAACTGATTTTTATCAACTGTACCACTGAGATGATCAGTTGTGCAGGAATTGACTAGAAGACCTGGGGAGTCAATTAGGCTGAAAACTGAAGAGCATCACAACACCCAGCTCTCTCTCTGCTCTGACAGGGTGCTTCTGGATGATTAGCACTATCATAGATGATGCTTACTCTTTCCCCAGCTCCACAGTTCAGGAAGATTCCTCTACCTAGGTAGGGCAGCCTGATTGTTATGTGAGTAGTTGGCTTCACTTGGGTGACATGGAGAGGGAAAATGATGTTCCCAGAAATCAGACATGGCTCATTAGCCATTTTCCTTAATAATATTTGTCTCTTTCTGAGTTTGAAAGATTGTGTCCCAGATCACACAGGTGGCAAACTGGGACTTGATTCTAGATTTTTCTGAGCTTGCAACCCATGCTTTCACCTGTGATGGCAAACTGTCTTTTGGGACCTACAGGGTCCCTGTCATGAAGCCAAGCCCTACTTTCATGGTTGGCAAATTTTCCTGCCTGCTTGGAGTGTATGCCTCTACCTGCTAGGTCAGCCAGCCCTACCCGCTTCTTCTCTCTCAATGCTCTCTAACAGCCAAGTTCATGTTTCTCTAGTGGTGGATATACTGCGATGACTACAGGTTCTTTGTCATCTGGCCCTGTAGCTAACCCTTATTAGTATCTTCTTAACCTTAAATTCAGTATACTTAAAACTGAAAGCATCATGTATCCATCAGATGTTTTTTATTGTCTCTTATTTTTGCAGCTTTCTTTGTGTTTGTGACACTATTATCCTCCCTTCTATCTGTCCTTAGACATGTTGGGTAAGAACTCTAATGCTTAAACCTCATTAGAATCATGGACATGCTTTTGGCTCATTTAGCTTTTAAAACCAACACAGGCTGATATTTGGCATTTTGGGGATATAGCTGAATGTTACCTATGAGCCCACCACAATAGGCAAATCTGAGGGTGCAACTTAACAAATCTACAAGACTGTAGCTGATTTATTACAGTTAAGTTTCAACAGTGCCTCTCAAGCTATTTCAGAGAGAGATTTATTTCAATTTTGAATTGCTTTAAAAACTCACATTAAAAAGATATATTTTAAAATCTGACTGAGTCATTGAACAGCTGTAATATAGCATCTGCTTCTGCCTGGGGTTGCAGCCAGAGAAGAAGTGGTCTCTTGGCCTTCACATACTGATAATTATTTCTCTTCTCCGTGTTCCCTACTGCTCAGTGAGTGGGTTGCCAGAAACACTTCAGCTTCCAGAGTAGAGATGTGGATTCTTCAACCATAGGCACTGGTCAAACCCTCCCTGAATTGAATTAGCATAGTTAGACAACTTTCCCTACTGAATTTAAAGTGGGAATCACATTACTACTAGTCTCATATGGTTGTTATGAAGATTAAATATATGTGAAAACTTTCAGAGCAAGTGTGAAGACATCATGAGTCACTCCATAAATATTAGATATTATTAGATTATTATTCTTAGTTATTTATAAATAAGAACTAATAGGAGATAGGGATGAGATACTGAGGGATATGCTGATTCTCACCTCCCATATTAACCCCATAAGGGCTCAGTAAAATAATATTTAAGTGTCTTATTTTAATAATAATGATTAAAATGATTTGCATGGATATCATGTTTTTCTATGCCTTATTCTACTTTTTTCCACCAAGTATGCTATACAAAGGATGCATGGATGCATGTTATTAGTTTTAAGAGCAAATTATTTTAATGTGTATGAGTTTGAGAAAATGTGACTAGAACATCAAGTTTATGATTTCTTGATCATCATTGCTCGGTATGAAGCTGAAATATTTCAAAATCTGTAAGCCAAAAGTATGTTTGTGTGCATATATATAAATTATATATATGTGTGTATAAAAATAGTGTAAACATATAGATGTGTATGGTATGGCAAAATTTTTATAGGAACACAGTTTTATTTCATTTCATCCTCAATTTTGTGAGGCAGGCATTATTATTATTCTCCCCATTTAACATATTAAGAGATTGGGGTTCAAAAAGGATCATCATTTTCATTCTCTTACCTAGTGGTCAGCTAAGTCTTTGCTGCATCTGAGATGCTTCCTCACTTTCCTTCTCAGGAAAGCTTTATTCTTCCCAAAATTTTCATTAACTTATGTTTACCTTCCTAAAAAGATATATTTGTTACAAATCTTTTTTTTTAATAGAAGAACATTTTACCGGAGTAAGAGCCCTCAACATGGTCTATCCTTTTAACAAAAATCTTAAGTATACAATAGGTATTTATTTACTAAAGACACAGTTTTGAACAGCAAATCTCCTCTTATTTTTCTTATCACAGCTCTATGAGAAAGATGGGCCAAACAAGGAAACTGAGAGAGGTTGCGAAATTGATTGGAGTCCCATAATAAAAGCACAGGCATGGCAGATGCTTGGCTTTCAGACCCCTTCCTCTAAACCATAATGTATCACAGCACAGGCTCTGAAAATCTGCCCTTGCCTCTGGAAGAAAAAATAATGTGACTCTAGGGGGAATCTTCCAGACCCCTCCCCATTAGGAACAGGGTCTGAAAGTGGTGGCCTGTGCTGTTTTCCCAGGAGGGTAGCAGCGCTGGCTCTGAATTTACATTTGCCTCTTTTAACCAAAGAGCTCAATGGTTCTGTCTACATAAATGCACACACTGATACAGATGCCAGCTGATTTAATTAAACCCCTTCTCAACTCAAATAGTGAGTTTGGACAAAAAACTGAAGCTTTACCAAATTACCAGTTTGGGTTTCTGTGTCTTTTCAACTAGTTGCTTTTGGGATCTTTCTGGCTCCCAGCTTCCTTCAGTAGTGAATTGAAGGGAAAGGGAGATTAGGATATTAATTAGGCAGTACTGGTAAATTATGTAAGTGCCCATTGAAAGTGGTTTCACCTAAATGGAGGTATACCGTCACTATTGCAATACAGTTCAAAAAAAGCCATTCAAAGTGATCTGTGATTCTGTGAAGTTGTATCTTAGGACTCTGTGGGGTTTATAAATTGAACTCTTTTCCCAGCTCTACTTCATGATCTTGTGTCTAGGAACCCAAGGGCTTCCGTTTGGACATTATAAAATGACAACAACAGACCTATGTTAATTTGGGCCTCAGGACCTTAGTTGAGGCGAATAGTTGAAGGTGTCAGAACTTATGCAATTTCAATTAAAAACATGCTGATCTCAGGTGCTTGCTAAAGATTATTTTCTTCTCCATTATTACCAGAATATAATTCCAAGAAATAGGCAACATGAATAAAATATATTTCTTCCTAGAGCCTGATGGTTTAAGGGAAGGATTTGGTAGGATCTTCTGGAGGATTCTGAAGGTGACTGTACTGTATGTGCCAAGACTTATTGGATAGTAGGTCTTGTTCCTATTATTCATCATGGCTCCTGCCCAGCCTCAGTGCAGGCACTGCTGTTTTATCACCTGGGTCCACTCTGCCTTCACTATCCTCAGCTTCTGACAAAAGTGCTGTCAGCGAACTTCAGAGATACAATGGGAAGTATTGTCTACCCTTCCAGTGTACAACCCACCAGAAGGGAAGCCAACCGAAAACACATCAGGACTAATCAGACCTTTGATGTTACACAAAGCAAATTGCATTTCAAGCTCTAGAGAATAAGGAGTCATTCTAAATCTGATTAAGATTCATCCAGTAACAAATTGTGATAAATGTTTGTTTTGGAAAAGTGAATTGTCAGTATTTTCTGATTCTGCTTATTCACTCAGAAAATCCGTTTTCCACTTTCTTTACAGAAGTAGGCATTACAAAAAAACTTGAGTTGTCCTGACTTGTCTGCTAGGGAAAATCAAGAAGTTCATTTGGGCTGCCTCCAGAGCCCTAGGTGAAGAGTCTTTTATCCAGGTCCTGAGGATCCTTCATTGACACATCTCACTTCCTACCGTCCATAGCACAGGTGTACTCACCTTCAAGACTGAGGTGCTTGTACTGTACTCACCTTCAAGCTCCTGAGGTGGGGGGCTAAAAGAATGGCCATTGCAAGAATTCAGGCACAGGGTTGGCTAGCTGGGGAGAGGACTTTTTTTTTGGAGGACTTGTTTCCATTTTATTTTGTCTGAAGTAAAATGTTACATATGATTTCAAGGAAGGAAACAGAATCATTCCTAATCTTACCATGTTTTGCAGTTACTTCATAACTACTTTGATCTTTTGATACATTTATTTGTACACATATATGTGAAATGAAACCATTACTGCTTAGTTGTGACACCTGTGGTTTCCATTTAGCATATTCTGAACATTATTCCATGTTGATGAGCAAAGATCTCCATAATTTTTGAGAACTGTTGGATAATTTTCACTTTGGGGACTCCCATTCCCTCTCTTCCTTTTTTTGTTTTCTTCCTTCCTACTTTCTTTGCTGGCAATTTTATTATCCCTTTTATTCTTCATAATCTATAATCTTTTGCTACAGTTCAATTTCATTCTCTTTTTATTCACCCTCATACTTTGTCATATATCCTCCAACATATGCAAATACTATGAAATAAAAATATTTTTTTGTAGTTTTGGGTTATGCTGATTGAATAACTCATATTGAAATAATGCTTCCTTTTTTATTGTTGTTGGCGGCTTTGTCATATTTTCTCCCCGTGTTCTGTGAGGGGAGAAAAAAAAACATGACAGTATTTTGAAAGCTTTTCATATCCCCAGAAGGAAGAAATGACAAAGAGGCAAGCCATTATAATGAATGTTTATGATCTTTATTTAGGAACATGACAGTTTCAAGCCCTCTGTCACTTCTAAGTGTTGATCAATTATCTTGTTTCCCCAGACCCCATGCCAGTCCACAAAGATGGGCAGAATGAAGCCGACAGCACACCAGAAGACCTCCAGTCTGTTGGGACCAGCAGGCTGCTTTATCACATCACTGATGGTGACAACCCACTGCTGTCGCCACGATGCTCCATCTTTAGCCAAAGCCAGAGATTCAATTTAGACCCTGAGTCAGCCCCTTCTCCACCCAGCACTCAGCAGTTCATGATGTAAGAAAACCTTGTTTTATAATAGTCTTCATTTCATACAGTTTTTCAAATACCACATTTACAAATGAACTATTGTGCCTCTGGAATAGTGCAAACAACCTGACAAAATGCAACTGTGAGATCTGAATGATAAAGCTAAAATTGGTGTACTTTCTAATTGGGAATCCTGTTTCTGGACTTAATCCCTAAGGAGGAAATGGTTATGAGAGACGAGCTAATTAGGAGCATGCAGGTTTTAAAAGATTTTGGTGAAATTACCAGAATTCTAATCCTATGAATGTTCTAGTATCAGGAATATCATTCTCAATTAGTGCAATCTATTTTTCCTTGTCAAACAGTGGTGTAAATGGATGGATTATAGAAACATTAGATAATTTGCCACCTCAGTTTCTTAGACTCTAGAAAAGTGGTAACTTATAATTGGTGTTCCCCAAAATTAGATGTAGATATCTAAATAGATATATTTCCCTCAATCCACTCCATTTGGACTTTTATATTTGGCATTGGAATAAGATAAAAGAATAATATATGTTATTTATTTGGGGGTTTCATAAATCCTTTTGGTGTATAACTAAAACTGAGAATCCCTTGGCTGAAAATATGCCCAGGAAATCCTAAATTTTTTCCCCATAACTCATTCTTTAATTGATCTAAACTGGGTCCTTTGACTATCTACTTGAATTTGAGGGAGTTAGTGATTATTACTATAGCATGTAAAATATGTGTCATGTGACGGTGTACACATTTTCTGGGGAGGAGGCCCATTTTTTTCATCATATTTGAAAACATTTGCTTTTTTATGTCAACAAAGTTAAACACTAATATAAATCTTCTTTTGAAATTGTTGATAAGAGTGGCTAATGTAACCTATTGAAGATAACACCTCAATATGGGTGTCTCTTCTGAGCTTTAAATTGGCCTCTATCAATTTTAAGAAACATGTTTCCTGGACTTATATTCTGACATTTTGTCTACTAAAGACCCTGAGGACATCTGCTCATAATGCAGTTCTGTTATCAGGGCTATTAATGAGCAGATGGTTGACTCATCAAATTATGAACTGCACTCTAGCCTTCTCTGATAATGTTGGTTTGTAGAACAAGCAGCAGTGTTTACTGGGGTACCATTGTTTCTCATGCTCTTTCCCTCCTTCTAATCATGGTAGGCCCCGAAGTTCTTCTCGGTGTAGCTGTGGTGATGGCAAGGAGCCACAGACCATTACCCAGCTCACCAAGCACATCCAGAGCCTCAAGCGGAAAATTCGGAAATTTGAAGAGAAATTTGAACAAGAAAAGAAATACCGGGTAAGCACCTTAAGATTTAATATGAGAACAGATCGTGTTAGGCTGAGATGTGTGGACCTTCCTGAGTCTCTGTCCTTCCTATTTGGGTACCCCTCTTTGTCAGGGGACAGTTCTGTTCCCACTGGTCAATCTAGGTCTTGTTGATGAGTTCCCATCTTGACTCTTGTCTTGTTCTCATATGCTGCCAGTTATCTCCTCTAAGACACTTCCCAGTGATGGATTTTAACTCTCATTTCTGAACTTAGTATTCATCCCCCTCTCTCCTGCTATTCTTTTTTTTCCCCTAAGGAATCTTACTATCACTAGATTATCTAGGACCAAAATTTGGAAAACTTTTGAAGTATAGTCTTTTTTTTTTCTTTAACCTTTTTCTATTTGCATTGTGATAAGAACCTATTATGTACTTGAAGGGCAGACTCTCTAAGGGTGCAGCACAATGAGAGGGAGATGATTTTAGTATTTCCTGGTTGTCGAGTGGAGACTTCTCACATGAGATCTTTTCAGGCCCCTCATAAGAACAAACTTGAACAATCATTTCCAATCAGACACCAGTCTTCATGCTGGTAGTATAGTGCTATAAAAACAAGTCTTGTCTCTTCTCAGTAAGAAACAACAAGAGCCATAGGTAAGCATCTTGATGGCCAATGCTGCTTTTGTTTTCTCTCATAGTGACTATGACATAGAGAAAAATCATATTCATGCAGAATTGCATAAAGATATTGGGTCTTTGGAAGAAGGCCCAGAATAGCTTGTTATTAAAATAAATTTCTCATACATCTTGAAATATTTAAAGCTCACTAAGCACTTGGTACAGAGGCAAGTGGAACTGTGAGTATAAGTTCTGGGGAGGGAGCTGAGAATAGGTAAGATTCCACTCTTTTGTTCAACTTGTCCTGTGTGGCCTCAAATTCACTAAAAGAGAGGTTTTAAGGAGTGATTTTTAGTTTTGCAAAATAAAAAAATTTAAAAATTAGAAAAAAAAAAACTGGCTTTCAAGACAGCCTCAGTCACTTTGTGGCAGATCCTTCTCTCCTCCAAAGTCAGGCAGTCACAGCTACTTGCTATATTTTTTTAATGGAGCAGGAGGGAACGCTAAGCCTTTCCCCCCCCCCCCAAAGATAGGGAAATTGAGGCCCAGTGAAGATTTATAAATCGCCTAAAGTATTTGTGTTCTATCAGCTGAGGCTTGGAGTAGTGAATTAAAGACGAGTGGGCTTTGTAATTTAGGAGTAGAAGTAAAATTCTCAAGTGTCCATATTTTACTTTTTCAGGGTTTTTGTTTTTGTTTTTTTTGTGGGTCTGATGCATAAACCCAGGGTCTTCAACATGCTAGGCAAGTGTTCTTTCACTGAGTTACATCCACGACCCCTCAAGTATCCATATATTGAAAGGTCCAGATATCCCAAGAGAAGCTGATTTCACCTGTTTGCTGCTGGAGTGTTATTGGATCTTTGATTTACTCTGTAGAGTAACAACTAGGGGGTCCATTCCTAGGGCCTGTTGACTCTTCTGGATTTGAATCCAGCCAGACACTTAAGAAATTTGCAACTTTGGACTTGTTACTTCACACTTGAGTCTCAGTTTGTCCATCTGTAAAGTTGAGTTATCAATTGTAACTTAAGTTTAAGGGTATTAAAATGAGTGAACACATGTATAATGTTTATTGTAGTATTTTCATAAAGGGAGTGGTTCTAGATTTTGTTAACTAATCAGTTTGAGCAGTCTGTGCCTTGTCAGAAAATGAAGGGAAATTGTACACATTAAATCTTCCCTGGATTTCTACCTGCAGCCACAGATCCTGAATTATTTCCCTTGACTACAGCAATCATCCACAAGTTGCCTATTTTGGAACAGAAATTCTCTAAGCATCTCCTGCTTTTGTTTAGAGAAAGTTTAAAGAGGATAGACACACCTAAGTACTTATGCGCAAGGATGGATGCAGAAGCAGGAGGAGGAAGAAGAGGTTCAAGGTCATCATTCTTTACTGTCTATAACTCTTTGATGTAATTAGATCCTTGGATGTTCTAGGAAATAGGGCTTCCCCTTGCCCTTTCTGTCAGGAAGCCAGGCTATGGTTAGAGGTTTGATATGTCAGTAGGATTTAATTGGTTGCTGTGAATAAGACTTCCCTTCCTGGCATCCTGACTATGGAATTAATAGCACCCACTGTTAATTTTTGAATCCAAGCTCTTGCTGGGCTTCTGTGCTACTCTGATGTCTGGGTATAACATACGTTTTTCCATCTCTATTGAATGTAACCATTTCATATTTCTATTCAAAACTGTACTTATTTTCTACAACTTGACTTTGCATTTGATAAACAGGCTCATGGGTTTAGAAAAGGCTACTGCCACCAGATGTGTGCTTTCAGTGGAAACAGAAAATGTTAGAACTGGAAGGATCAGCTCATCAATTTTCTTATCAGATGATTGAAGAAATTGAGACCCGGGAGGTGAATTTCCAATAATCACACAGCAAAGAATTGATATAGTCAAGAAAATATCGCAGGTCTTTTCATTACCAATCCATAAATCCCAAAGATGGTTTATGAACCATCTTTGGCAGACCACAAAACTTCTCCAATGATATCCCCAGTAATGTGGTCTGGGTGTCCGTCCCATTTTAATTGTATTGAACAAAGCCAAATCTCTGTAAATTCAAGTATATGATTGTTAGTGTCTATTAAGTCAGATTATTTCAGTTATAAAGTTAGAAGGATTAAAGATCCACACTAGTATATGAAAACTTTTATGTCACATGAGTGCTGCCATCCATGTGAGCTTAATTTAACATCTTTTAAAAGTTCCCTAAAGGGCAAAGGAATAAGAAATTCATTTCTGAACTGATTTCAGGCTTTAAATTACTTTGCTGGAAAATTGAGCCTTAAATTTCTCTTAAGTCTGATGTGCAGTAGTAAAAGCTCATTTTGTTGTTGGTCAATGGCTTAGGATTTTTGTTTTTGTTTTTACTGTATTTCAAAAGATGGAATTAACAGTATGGAGCAGATCCAGTTAAGCACTGTTCAACAAGATAGTTCTTAGACTGAAATGGAGGAATCTCTGAAGATTCTGAGAAACCAAATGCTTTAAAACATTGACTGTCTGTATAACCAGACTGCTACCCAAAGCCAAATGCTAGACTGTATGCCAGGGAACTAGTACAGAACATCATTCTGTAGACCCTAGGTAGGATTACATTAAGCTGGTTTGGGGGACAGATTAGTGACCCATGTGGCACTGTCCATGATCCTAAATTTAGGGCCCCTTTATGGAAATCAGTCTTCCATTCAAGCTCCCTTAGGAAAGAATCATCCTTCATCAACTTCTTTCCTTTTCTTTCCATCTTGATTTTAAAATGTGAACAAATGTCCCATGTATATTTGATCTTGTCAAAAATTACTGTTTTGTCCTTTGAACTTAAAAGAAATGTGTTCTCTATCTTCTTACACCTGGATTTGGGGGATCATTAAAGAAACATGACAGCTCCTAAATTTATTCACTAACAATACACACATTTCACACAATAATGTTTATGATCATCCTTTTTTTATTATATAGTTCTTTATATATCCTTAGTATCCATTTGATCCGCCCAAGCCCACAACTAAGTAATTGTGGAGGCCTTGGATTATTTAAGAATGCTCCTTACTGATCTGTGGGGGTAGAGGGTATGTTTGGCTACTCGTCATTCCTACTTTGTTTTCTGTAGAAAGTCCACTTTTGTGTTCTGAGAAGGAATCCAGAAGTCAAGTAAGTGATTTGTATTGACAAGAGATTATTCCTTTTAAAATGTTCTTAATACCACATCTAAGGTGTGATTGGCTACTTGTAGGACCTACATACCCCTCCATGTGTATTTGCCAGTGAAAACATTCAGTATTCCTTTGAAGGTTTAGTGGAAATACTACTACTATCACTGCTGCTACTGAAAATAAAACCAGTAATTGCAGCTAACTCTATAGTGTTTGGCGTGCATCTGGAATTGTTTTCTGTGCTTTATCAATATTAACTCCTTGCATCAGCCCTACAAGGGAGACACTGTTATAATTCTTATTTAATACATGAGGCCATGAAGAACAGAGAAGCTAAATAATTTGCCCAAGGTCACATATATATGATTAAGTTTCATGTTAATGTTAGCCTCATTAGGATATTAAGGTTAGAAATATGGCTACCCTCCCTGACAGTCGGACTTCTCCTGACTATTGTCAAGTTTTAGACCCTGGGATCTTCTTTCTTCAGCTCGGAGGATATGGCAGATAAGAGCCAAACTCCCAGTTTGTATCTTCCATCGGGTTATGGTCACAAGCCATGTATGTGAGCCATAGGCAAGATAATAAGAAATGATCTGTATTATCATCTGCACTGATACAGAGAATGGCCAGGCAACATTGTATGTGGTACAGGAGGCCTCACAGGTGATATGTGGGTTAGAAAGAAGCGGGGCAATGGCATGGTTAGAACTATGAAAATGCTGGGTGGCCAGGCATGTTTAGAAATGTGCCCATGTCAAGGGTGAGTGAATGGAAGAGGTCGAGAACATGTGCTGTTTTCCAGAAGCACCTCCATCAGCTGGAGTTTTCATGCCTGGATGTCTCTCCCAGGTTTTTATGTTCTTGAACTATCTTCATGTAGCTCAGCTGTCTAAATTTTTTTTTCTGCTTTTCTCTCTCCCTCCCTCCCTTCTTAATTCCCTTCCACCTTCCCTTTTCTCTCCTTTGGTAGCCTTCACATGGAGACAAGACTTCTAATCCTGAAGTCCTGAAATGGATGAATGATTTGGCTAAAGGTCGTAAACAGCTCAAAGGTAAATGCCATCCAAAGGTCTCTTTTCTCAGAAGCAGATAAAATAGTATAAAGTGCTGCAGGATATTTTTGATTCATTTCCACCTGTGCCTTCTTGAACTTAGTTTACCACTTAGATAGGAGGCCCTATTTGAAATAAAGATTCCTCAATCTCCTTTGCTCTTCAGCCCTACTTGGTAAACCTCCTTACAGAGACTGGGAACCTCCAGCCTCCTAGTGGAATGATTCAGTTTAATGCTAGGAACATTTCAACCTGTGAAGCTATAACCTCCCTGGTTATTGGATTCTTAGATGATAGAAACAACATCTAATACATAATAATGAGAATTTATTCTATATGCCCAGTTGCATAGATGAGCATGTTTATGCCCAGAAAGGTCACACAGCTTGGAGATGGTAAACCAGAGCTAAGACTTGGTTCTCCTGTATCCTAGTTCAGTGCTTGTCTTTCTTTATCCCTCTCTGGAGATGATGGTGTATTAATTAGCTCTAAAATACATTGAAACAGGACTATCGTTATTTACCAATAAATTTTTCTTCTTACCTCCACATCCCAATTTCATTTCTTAGACATGGGAGTGTTTCCAAATTTCTAGAAGGATAGTGATTAAGAAGTAGAAGGGAATTCATTGCTATTAAACTATAATGATGTAGCATATTTAGAAGATGTGCAGTTTTTAAACACAAAACTAGTATCACTAAAATTTTATTCACTAACAATACACGCATTCCAAAAAATAAACATCAAAGAAAATGAGCTATGTAATTGAGAAATCAATATAAATAGTCTCATTAAAACCACCAGTCCCCTAACATATTCTGAAATGCAATTCCCTAATAAGTCCCTGGTGCCTTTTTAATTTTTAATTATATAAGTTTATAAAAAGCCACATTGCAATAACAGTGGTTCCTGGATTTTGAAATCTGGACTTCGACAAGTTTGTAAAATATGTCAATCTGGGGCTGGCATTCCCATTTCCCCTTTCCTATACTTGCCTGCATTTCCTTGGGTATCTACATATGTAATGCCCTCTAGACGAACTAGTATTTCCACAGAAGCTACCCTGATGAACACACGACTTTCAAAATTTACATCAGCAAATCTTTGGGTATAGAATTCAGGTGCTATAAGTAGGTAACAGGTGGGAACTCTGGGGTCAGGTACTAATGATCTTCCTCCAGAATTCTGCTGAAGTCTACACCAGAGTTACTACTACATATTATCCTCTGCTTCATGAGGACCCAGCTGTTGGGGCTCACTGTTTTTACACTTGTTTGGGTGCTTGTGAAATTAATCATGGTTATTAGGGCTGCCCTTGCCACATAGAAAGCTATTATTAGCATTTTTCATTTCTACCAATATGGCATCCAGCGAGGGAATTCCTGAAGGGTTCTACATTCTGATTAGGGATAGTGAGTCCTCTTCCTCATGGTAACTCATGACCTTTCTCTTAGAATTAAAGCTGAAGCTGTCTGAAGAACAGAGGAGTGCTCCCAAAGGCCCACCTAGAAATCTGTCCTGTGAGCAACCCACGGTCCCCAGAGAAAATGGGAAGCCAGAAGCTGCAGGCCCTGAGCCAAGCTCCTCTGGAGAGGAAACTTTAGATGCTGTGTTGACATGCCTGAAGGAGAAGAGAGAGCACCTTCCTCCGCAGGAGGATTTTAAGGTACCTGACCATATCATCATGGGGCCCCAACATTCCACATAGTGCCAGTAAGATCATCCTGTTTACCAATTTATCAGAGCACTTTGCCACCATAGACATCTTTAGGAGACTGGCTCCAAACTTTCAGTCAGATGATTTCTGGTGGGTTACTGGCTGTGACCTCTGGGCATTGCCCAATGATTGAAGGATGTACTGCTGTTTGTGAGGTTATAGTTTTGTATGGAGGATAGAAATTGGCAAAGACATGGGATATATCATCCCTTTCTCAACTAATTTCCTTCCCTTACAAATTGGCAAATGAACTCAAGACTGGGGAATTAGTATATTGTCTGAAAGGACAGAGATCCAGTTATAGTCCCTTCCCCATATGTTAAAATATAATAAAGCAGGGATGAGGCATAAATAGCAATAAAAGTGTTTTGGTATTTTATGTAATAAGGACAGAGAGATAGGGTTTCTTTGGAAGTGTTAAGTTAGAACTAAAGACTTCAGATAAAATTGGTCTAATTTTATCTGAAATCTTTAGTCGAATTCTTTAGACAAATTAGTTTTGAAATCTCAGACAACTGGATGGAGTTACCACTAGACATTAGGCTATATGATACTGGAGCTTAAAGAAAAGTCTTATTGTAATTAACAAAGAAGAAAATGATCAGCATTTACCTGGTTAATCCCCCATCATCCTACTTATCATTGCTTACATTTCAGTTGTGACAGGGAAGCTTTCCTGTGGTTCTTTTGTATCAACTCTAAGACTGGCATAATTGCGGTTTTCTCCTGATTAAGAGTTGAAGCTATCCTGTCATAGCTTCATGTATTCTGCCATCCCTACACTTTAAACTTCTTGCATTCTTCATGATCCCTTAGTGTCTGTACATAATAGGTATCAAATACATGTTTGTTGAATAAATGGACAGGAACAAACTAGCACATTTATCTTCAGTATGAAGTCTTCTTGAGGAGAATGATGCTTTTCTCTATTGTATTGTACTTAATCTGGTCTTAATAAGGTGGTAACATATATCAAATCCCAGAAGGCTCACAGTTAGCCCCTAGGTTAGTCCTTTACATTGGAACTTTGTGATCTACAAGTAGAAATTGAGCTGTGGTCACTTCCATCTTCATGAAATACACTGTTGTTGTTTTAAGTCTAAAGATATGTTGTGAGTAGTGAATAGTTTTTCATTTGTGTAGCCAACCTATTCCATCTCCTACCAAAGATGCCAGACTTTTGTAATAATATCTATGGATAATGTCTGTGTATACAAACACACACACCCAGACACATCTATGGTTTTCTAGGGGTCTCTCCTGTATTACCTTGACCACATTTACAACAGCATTTTTGTCAATACCCAAATCCTAATTCTAAATTCTACTCAATTAGGGCAGTGAGGGTAGTGTTGGGTTGGTATAGAATACTTAGACTAGGTTTTAGTGCTTAACTAACCACTTGATAATCATGTTTACTTAGCAAGTGAACTAATTCTGAGATTTAACTTCCTCATAGGCAAAATACAGATAACACTGATATAATTATTGTGACAATAAAAGAAATGCCTTGTGACTGGTAGACAATCATTCATTTGCAAAAAGATGCTAGGTCTAAAAAATAAGAGAAGTCATGGTGGGGTTTGCTGCCCTCTTGGAGCTCAAGTTCTTAGAATGGTATACAAGATATGAACAAAATCAATAAGGAGTTTGGTAAGTACTGTGCATGAAATTAAACAAGTGAAATGATAGAAAATAATGGGTATGGTTTCTTCTTTTGCTAGGGTGATTAGGAAGGCTAAGAACATGACAATTTTAGGCCAAGAGGGGATGAAGAAGATTCTTGAAAAAATTGGAAGTATAAAGTTCTTAAAGGAAGGAAGAGCTTCTTGTGTTCTTGGAATTCACAGGTCTGAGGGCTAGAACACAGGATGGAGTGAGATGAGAGGCATGAGATGAGATCAGAAAGGTAGATGGGAATCCATCAAACAGAATCTTTTAGGCTTTGAAAAGAATTAAGTTGCCAAATGATCATAAGCAGAAAAGTGATGTGAGATGAATCATATTTAAGAGATCTTTCTGATTGCTGGCTGAATCATAGGGGAAAAGTGAAAATGGGAAGATGGAATTAGTGACTTCATTAGCGTAGTGGCACTGGAGATGGAGAGAAGTGAACATAATCAAAGTATATTTTGGTTGGAAACAAAAAGAACTTGCTAAAGCATTAGATAAGAGAAAGAGGAAGAAAGGAGGGATCTTGAATGGTGATGAGTCCATTTACTGGCATGAGAAAACTAAGGAACAGGGCTGGAGTCAGTGGAGTGCTTCCCACATGTGAGATCCTGGGTTCAATCCTCAGCGACACATGAAAATAAATAAATTAAAATAAAGGTATAAAAAAGAAATCTAAGGAACAGATTTCTGATTGGGGATGAAAACTTAAAAGGGTTCTGTTTAGGATACATTAAATTTAAGATCATTCAAGAATAGAGTAACCAACCATCCTGGGAAATGTCTCAGTACTAAGCAAAATGAGACGGTAGTTCATCCTTCTGAGGCATCTAAGTCAAATAGGCACATGCAAATGAATTCTGAAGATTAAACAAAAATCTCTGAGTGCTTCAAGAGTTATCCTTATATAAATGGCAGTTATTTCTATTACTCTAAACAAATATATATGTTAGAAGCCCCTTCAAATAAACATGGTAGCCCTATAGTAAGTGAAAGTTTGAGGCCTCTAGCTAGAGAATCTAAAGTTAACTATGTAAACTTACATACTCAGTATTATTCCTGAGAGAGCAAGACACAGTATACCATGTTGTGGCTAGTCAGCTGTAAGATGAGTCCTCAAGGTGAGTCCAGAGGCTACAAGCATGTCTCTAAGGCAATATTATATATTTCCAAAGCAGCGATTCTTATTTCTGTTTCCTCAATAAACTCAGCAACATTTCACGTCATCTCATTAGGTTCCATTTCTTCAAACTCAAAATGCCAGATGACTTTCATCTGGGATCCTTCCTTGCCGTATTGCTAAAATTACATTAAATATTAAAAATTTTAAAGTGAAGAATGATTTCTTTTCTGGAAACACTTTTATTATTCTTCTCAATTTTTTTGTATTATTTTATATGACTAGAGTCAGAGCCCCTGCTGATGCTGATAATTCCTACAGTATTGCCTTCTTGATTTAGATATCAGCTAATGGGTAATTTCCTTCCTTTTTTAGCTATGGATTTTTTTTTAAATTTCACTTTTGCACACAGGGCATTGTAGTGCACCAGAAATGAATAATTCTACTTCCTTCCTAATTCTATACATTGCTGGCTCCCTATAGTATGTAACATGTATCTACCTTTTAATTTTTGTTATGTGAATGGAGGAAACCATGTTGAGTAATCTAAAATGGCCAAATAGAGCTATCCAGAGTACAAATGGATGTGCTATTTTCAAGGTAAGTATAAGCAGATAAACCACAAAGGATAATTATACTTACTTCCTACATTTTTATAGTAGAAGGGTTAAAACTAAGAGGAGACTGAAGAAAGAACTTGTATAAACTTAATATGATCTAATTTGTTGATAGCTCAACAACTTTGCCTTACAAAAGCTCCTAGCCCCCTATTGCAGTAGATAATTCAGTCATCAAAGACTGGTAGAGTAGCCTAAAATTGAGATGGTTTTCCTAGAGGGAAACACTATTTAATGGTCAGCCCAGATATTTCTTGCTGGGTCCTGGTCAGAAAGTTGGAAACAAATCTGCCATAATTCTAGTACATTTACTAGTGTACTTATTTTCCTTCCTTCCCATGGAACTGATGCCAGGTATTCTTTTTCAGAAAACCACAGGAATTTATAAACAAAATAATTCCTAATAATCCTCATAAAGGAGATTTCTCTTAAAAGTCAGAAGGAAAACTGACATTCTCCTCTCTGAACAGTGAATGATAGAAAATTTACTCTTTAGCTTTATGAATCAAGTCCTGCCAAGAGTTCTCTTTGTCTAAGAAACACATCTGAGCTGGTTACTGAACCCTCATGTTTCTCTTTGGGGATTGTTTCAGTAATGATCCTAAAAGTAAACTTATGGAGTTATTAGAGTAAAAGGTGAGTACATACATTGTATGTGTTACCCTAGTTTTAATCTTTAATTTTTTTTCAAATGGCATTTATCATTCTAACTTTTTGGTGACTCTTGTTGCATTTAAGATCAATTTTAGCTTTTCTAGAATGGGTAATATAAAATCACAAAAATCAAATTTCAAAAGAAAAGCCAATAATAGATACATAATTTTCTTAAGTGTTTTCTGTAGAATATATATAAAATCCCAAATGAGATAGTAAAAAGCATTATTTCAATATTTTTTGAACTTAAAGATGGAGATTTTTTTTCCTCCTTCTGTCACCTCTTAAAATACCATGGAGTGCAGTTTGGTAGACTTTCTTTTTTTCATGGAAAGGTGTGTTATCACTAAGAAAATGTTTATAGAGGGACTGGGCTAGAAAACTAAAGCCTTTAGGAGTTATTTAACCCATGCTTAAGAGGCTTATACAGGGAGGTGATCTTTCTACTGAAAAATAAAGAAAAATGCAAGAACTTAGGTTATAGCTTGTGAAATATATATGAAAAAGGACTCTAAAATTAGATTTCTTTTTGTATATAAACTTGTGTTGACAGTATGGTAGTAGAGGCTGGGTTGTTTCAGGTACCGAGAGAACTTAAAAGAATTATGTGATGTGATCTAGGCCCTCCGGAAACTTTGATTTGGGGAGATAAGACTGAAACACAAAACAGTTAAGGAAACAGTTAAGATAGAGAAGTTCAAAGAAAAGGAGATTAATATGGGCTACACTGGTTTGTAATTGGAATGGGCAGACGGTATTCTAACTGGGAAGCTTAACTCATGGTTAAGCCATTTTCTTTTCCCTCAATTTTCTCTTTCAAAGCTCTACAAGACTGCTGTTTGGCAGTCTGTCGTGTGTACTTTGATAAAAAGATATCTGAATGATTATACTTTGAGCTATTTCTATCACTCCCTTTTCACTACCTGCTGGTGCAAACCAATGGCATAGAATGAAAAGGAGGCTGTGAATAGTGGACGTGTAGTAAGTAAATGAGGATACAAAGGAGAAAAATCAAGGCAAATAAAGGAGTGAAGTAGACAGAAAAAAATTGATACCTATTTAAAATTTTATATACAATGTGACTTGTGGACAGTAGTGCCTAGGGATGAGTCAGATGTAGATGGGTACAAGAATCCATTAGAATACCAAGAGGCTATGGAATTTCTTAGTTGAAAGTAACTTTGGATAATCAATTGAGAATACTTCACTATTTTCAGACTGGTCTAGAAGAGACTTTGTAACTGTAACCTCTTTGTTGTGTAGGTAGGAAACTGAGGGTTCAAGGAAGTAAATTGTTTTGTTCAAAATAGCTTAGTTTAGTATCAGAGCTAACCAGTAAGCTAGTATATAATCATGATGAAGACCTTCATACAGTTCATGTTTGTGAATATAATCATTAAAGTCCAGATTAAATAGATATTTCAGAAGAAAAAAAATCAAAGTCTTATTTATTCTTTAAAAAAGTGATTAAGAAGTTTCATACTTCCTTAAAGAAGTTTCATACTATTTATGCTTTGCAGACACTTTCAGAAAGCTTTTAAAAACCAACTTTCTAGACTTAGACCTATTCTTTAAGAGACCATTCTTAGAAAAAATTGACCTCTTACTACATACAGTATCTTATAACTTCCCCTTTTCTAATTAGTATTGTATTTCAGAAATAAAATCTTTTACTTTGAGGCTTCGAGACTTTTATTTTTGGTCAAGAAAATTGACATGTTTTTAATCTTGTATGAAAAAGGAAAAATAATTTTATGTTTTTCAGGTAACTAAGCAAGACAAGAACCTCATAAAGCCTCTTTATGACCGATACAGAATTATCAAGCAAATCTTGTCAACGCCTTCCCTTATTCCAACAATTGTAAGTCAGGATAACTATATTAACTGAAAACTTGTACTGGTGCTCTGTATTGATGTTTAGTTGGCACTGTCATAGCTAGTACTATTAGAATTGTGAAGCAGTCCTCTTGACCATATACACCACCGACACCATTGCTGTTACTTCAAAAAAGCAGGAATGTCATCTTCTCTAGACTCAATATTATGACTAATAATTAGACTTATTATGCAGCAGAAATATATAACACTTATATATTTGAATCCAGTTCTGATGTCTGCTTTCATTACCTTGGATGAAGAGAAAAAATGATAAATTTCAGTTTGGCATAATCTTATTTATAATACAGCTAGACAAACCAGAGCCTCTCTATTTTGCATGTATTGGTTAATTTTTCTCCTTTAATAAGAAAATTGACAGTATATTCCTTCATACAGTGCAACATTTGTTATTGTACAATTTGACTACACTATCTGAGTATATTTATTTTAATAGAAAATAGGAGTACTGACAATTGAGTTAACTAGGTTTAATAAAGAATGATATATGGGAATACAAAACTAGAAAAGCACCACAAATCCTACTTCATTAATATCCAAATAGCCACTTGGTCAAGATGTCAATATAAAAAAAGATTAAATGTTTACACATATAAATTTTAGTATACTTGAGTACATTTACAAAGAAAATAAGAGAATAATAATTTATAGTCTTTAAAGTTTTCCCATCAAGGAAACATAACTTAAAGTGGAATTTTCAGATTTCTCTATAAGAAAATCATTTGGTTGTGATAGTTATCAGAATATGTTAAGGAGGAAACCCACTTTACTTTGGTCTTCAAAGGGCTCTTTGAATTCATCAATTTTTTAAGTGTCCTTTGTGTCTGACCCACACTGGGCCCTGACTTGGAGTATTTCTGAATGGAAAGGTGTCTGTAGACCATCTCATCCTAACTCCTCTCACTGGTGTGAAGCTGGAGCCCAGGTATAGGTAAAAGGGAGGAACTATTTGGCAGTACAGTCCAGACTGGGTCACATCCTATCTGTGCCTTCTCTGGCCAAGCAAATACAAATGAACTTGGTGTTTTGGCTTAGCATACATGCCTTTTTGCTCATTAACTTTTCCAGGTTTTTTAATGCAAATGAGGAAGTTCTTGTTTGCTTCCAATTCCAGTTCTCAGAGAGCACATGGGTCACCTATGAGTTTTCATGGTGTCTATTTGTGGTTCCCCTTCCCATTTTTGCATTCTAAAGAGGCAGCATTTTGTGACTTTCTTACATTTAACTTTGCCTATGACAAGCAGGAAGAAGAAGACTCTGATGAAGATTGTCCACAGGGAAGCCAACAACATTCTTTACCAGATCCAGCATCTTTCCTTCCTGTCAGTGACCACCTCACCTATTCTAATGAAACTGAGCCTGTTAGGGCCCTACCACCTGATGAAAAGAAGGAAGTAAAACAACCAGCCCTCTCCATGTCCAATTTACATGAAGCAACCATGTGAGTATGAATCCTAAGTACAGAGTCTCTTTAACTTCTGGTTTGAGGTACCTTATTCATGCTTAGAAAGTTTATAATGACTATTAGGTCTCTCTAAAAGGAACTGTCCTGCAGAGAGTAGCCCTAAAAGCCTAATCTGATTGTCCTCTTAACTGGAAAATCTAGAAGACCAAAGTTATGAGGAACCACAGCTACCAGTAAAGTTCTGAAGATGCCATAAATGTTAATATTCAATTTACTTTAATCAGGCCTCTTTTTAGCAGGCTTCTGGCAGCAGTGTAACCCTTGGCTGTGTGTGAATCAGAACTGACCTTTGAAGATGCTGGACCCAAAGGAGTTAAGATCCTGTTTGGGTCAACAAATATCAAAGTCTGTATTCTAGCCTATTATTGGAGAATCCATCTCATCTAAATGTAGGAATCCCTTAGCTTTAAGTAAATGAGTTGTTCTTTGTCTCCTAATGGATCTTTAGCTTTAAATAAATGAGTTGTTCTTTGTCTCCTAATGGATCTTTAGTCAGGAGCTATTTGTATTTTCATTAATATTATCATTACTCAGTAGCTGGCATTTTCTTGATCATTTGGCCTTCTTTCATTTATACATTACAGTCCAGATTATGAGATTTTCTTAAACATATAGCCTGGTGAGTTTCTATATGCAAATTAGGATGAGGTAAGACCAAGAACCAAAATAAAAAATGAAGTTTTAATCTGTTTGGAAGTAGAAAAATCTTTTGTATGTGTTTTTAAAGAAAATGCTCACATATAATTTCAGATTCTCCAGATTCTCTGAAACCATATATAAGTTCTAGAATAAAAGAAAAACTTGCCATGGAACTACAGCTTTCTTCTGGGTCTTAGTTTCATTCCAAGGGGTTTTATCATCCTAACCACACTCCAGATTAAGGAAAGAATTTTCTTTAAGATCATTTCCTCCTTTGTCTCTTGTTCAGTCTATCATCCAACTGCAGATGACTATTCCTTCAAACTGTCTATTCCATGCCCTCATCACACATCGCCATTGATCTCACCATTTCTTACAATGGACTCAATCCACTTGCCTCTTTTCTGCCTTTTCTCCTTTCCCATATTTCAATTAGGTAATTTCCCATGCTTTTGGGCTGCCCTATAGTTAGTGCCATACTTACTCAAGAGACTCTTATGATCCAAACACTTTTCAATCATGATATATTTATTTTTGCTGAACAGATAAGTCTGCCCATGATATCTCAATTATGTCAGTGCTCATTAGTGGCAAATATATATTTTACCTAATACAGGCCTGTACTTCTTGATCATCTTCGAGAAACTAGGGCTGACAAGAAGAGATTGCGAAAAGCCCTAAGAGAATTTGAAGAACAGTTTTTTAAACAAACAGGAAGGTAAGTATGGGCAGATTTTTTAAAGTTACATTTTCCCAGATAACTGTTGTTCAAAATAAGCTATAATGTTTTGCAGACCAGTGATACTATACAAAATATAAATAACTTCCATACCAACTTAGACTTGGAATTTTTCTAATTTAACATTCCAATAGGGCTGTTATTAGGAATGTTTTATGGGAGACTGTAGCTTTCAAGTATGACAGCAAGCTTTAAGAAATTAACAATGTGCAGTGGCACATGCTTATAATCCCACCAGCTTGTGAGGCTGAGGCAGGAGGATTGAGAGTTCAAAACCAGCCTCAACAACTTAGAAAAATCTTGTTTCTAAGTAAAAATATAAAACAAGGTTGGGGATGTGTTTTAGTGGTTGAGAACCCCTGGGTTTAATCCCTGATACAAAAAAATGAACTCTAAAAAAATAAATCTCTATCTTGGCATAACCTTACTATATTGAACTTAAATTTAACTTTTAAAAACACCTACTTGATTTTTCAGCTCATATAATTTCTTTGTTCTTGGTTCTACAAGCTCTACTTATTTAATAACAATTCTTCCTTTACTTTAAATATCTTCTTTAAACTCCAGGATGTGCCCCTGATTATTGTTTCAGGGATTGGTCAAAAGATCATATCCAGTCTTTCTATCCCTTAATAATTAGCTATCTCCTCTACCTATCCTCTATTTTTATGCCTCAACCTAAGTCATCTTATACATTTCATTAGTGTCTCTTAATTTTTAGTTTATCACCAACAAAATTACATATATGTAATCAGGAGATAAGTGTTACTGCTCTACTTCTGGAAGAGATGGGGACAAATCACATAGCTAACCTGAGAGCCTCAGCTTCTAATTTTATAAGCTGAAATGATTTGACTCCTGAGATCATTTAGGAAGTTACAAATGTCATAAGAGCATAACTGTCCCAAAGGCAAACAGTTATTAAATGAGAGAGAGAGAGATTTAAGTATTTGGGGGGGGGGGTTAGAGCATAAGCATTATAGTCAGTGATAATTATCTCCTTGGTATTCCTCCCCATCTAGGTATTTGGTTTTTTATGAACTGTTTTCAGATTCAGCAGCCTGGGAGTTTCCCTGATGAAGGGACTATTTTCCAAACATTCAAGCTTGGTCTACTTATCTTTAGTCCTTGTCAGCTTTTCCATTTCAGTTCATCAGAGAGCTATTCACTAGGAGTGGACCTATTAAGTGAGAAACTTTTTGCATTTAGAATATACGCGTAATTCACTCAAGTGTTTCATCTGAAATCGTTCTTGCCAGTGAATTGCTACAAGTCTAACTTATTTTTCTGCTTATGTTAACTATGTGAGAAATGTTATGTGTTAAATTTAGATGATTTGTTTTCTTCTATAAAACATTCATGCAACTTTCCCTTCAAAACATTCCTTGGAATAGTGACTTTGTCTGGACTGTCTTCTCTATTATGCTTTGCGAATACAGGTGACTTGTATTAAAAACTTTGATCTATGTCTTTTTAAAGGCATCCTGTGTGAATTTTTCATTTGGGGAATTATCAAGGAAGATGTTTTTGTAACCTAAATCCAAATAGTCACTGCATGACTAAATAGTCTAAACAGTTATAAAGTGGGTTCACTTTAAGATGTGCATACATTCTTTTCATAACTTTGAATTCCTAAAATAAATTTACATTTTTACCTGTTTGAACCCAGTATTCTACTTTGAAGAGTCAGAAAATTCCCAAGATGTTGGTAGTCCTGCCCTAGTGGATTTACAGTGCTACTCCGCATGCCCTTTGACATACTGGAAGGTTAATTTTTTGTGTTTTACGTACAGCGTTCTATTGTATCTCTGAGTCCTAAACCCACTTCTGATATACCTATATTTGGTTATGAAGTTGCATGCCCCCTTGTGGTGACAGCATTTCATCTAAATATAAAAGTGGTAATTTATTACAATTAAAATCAAACAGTTGAATGTCTAAGAAATATGAACTGTAATTTTGTTTTCCTACAGTATTTTATTGGGAAGGCCTAACTATCCATAAAGTAAAATAACAATGCAAATGATGACTAAAAGTTTTATGGCACCATAAAAGTTCTCAGTAATAGTATATTACATATGTATCAAAATTTATGCCTTGTTACATATCCCAGTAGAGAATTAGTGTGAAGAGAACAAATTCAATTTGGACAGATAAATTACTTCACTCAATGAACTGCTTAGTGATTCTACTACACATTAGCAGAGACGGGCATTATAATTATAAGAAAACTTGGAGATGTTTCAAGTTTGTAACCATTGGGGGTATATTTTCTTGTCACCACAAATTTATGAACTATTTATGATCAGATTTCTCTAGGGTTTTCAGGTTGACAATTTTAACAACTTTAAGACTGAACATTCTGCATAGGCATTGGCCTTTGGCAAATAGTGGGGGGACAACTAAGAAAGGACTAGCCTTTGTTTTTCCTCAGAATTTTCACTTACCCTATTGTTATACAACTAAGCACTAGATAGAATAACTGACATTCAAATCCTCCAAGGAAATTATTTATAAACATGGAAGAGTAAGTGAAGCTGAAGAATGGGTAAAGATGACTATGCAAAAACCAAGCAGAAGCTGCTACCTTGTACTTTCATGTATGAATTATAAAAGTATATGTAATGGGGGCTGGGGATGTGGCTTAAGCAGTAGCGCGCTCGCCTGGCATGCACGAGGCACTGGGTTCAATCCTCAGTACCACATACAAATAAGATAAAGATGTTGTGTCCACCGAAAACTAAAAAATAAATATTAAAAAAATTATCTCTTAAAAAAAGTATTTGTAATGACTTGGTTCACTGTAAACAAATAGATCATCTTTTCTGTTTTGCAGAAGTCCACAAAAAGAAGATAGGATACCAATGGCAGACGAGTACTATGAATACAAGCACATAAAAGCCAAACTGAGATTACTAGAGGTCCTTATCAGCAAGCAAGATGTGGCCAAAACTATTTGAGGTTCAGGAAATGTCTATGATCACTTTCACCCAAGATAAGGTCAAGTGTATTTCTCTCTACCACTCTTGCTAAGTAGTTCTGACATACTGAAAATGTAAGCACTTTAGCTGTAGTATTAGCTATTTTTAAGATGGGATAATAAGTGTAATTATATATGAGAAGGGATTTAAATGGGGGAAACATGCAACAGGTAACCATCTAACTGAGGGAGAAAAATTGAGCCTCCTCCATTCCAAGAAGAAAACTCAGTCAATATAATTATTTCAAAATGCATCCAATATTTTGTCAAATCTGAATAGTATATAGTTGGGCCACATTTGATAGGGAAAATTTATTAGTGTCCAAAGATTGTTTATATTGATGTATGGAAAAAAGCATGTTTGTTTTGTTTTTCCCATGAGGAAAACAAATTCTGCTTTTTGTGAAAGACAGCTAGTACAAAAAATAATTTATTTGAAATTTCTAATCAGCTTTTAAGTGATACAACATTGACTACCTTGTCCCTTAGTATGTTAGGCTTTCAATATCCTAGAATATACTAGAGTGTGTCACTGCTAATTTTTTTATTTCTATATAAAAATAACACATCATTTTATGTTATTTGAATTTTACATTTCTGGTTACCAAAGTTCATTCTGATAGCATGTACTTTGTGAATTATCTTTTGTCTATAACTGACAGATGTTTATATTATTAAAATTTTAAAATAGGTATTTTGGATAGATGTGTCTGCAGTATAATAATCTAATGTGATCATAGTATTATTGCTAATCTTTTGTTTACAATAACTAAAAGTTATATAACTATTTTTCCATTGGGAATATGCATTTTTCTTAATGTTCCAAGGTATATACTTTGTAATGTGAAAAAATTTTCTCATGCACTGTAGTGATTCATTCTATATAAAAACGGAAGGTTTGGAAATTGTTATAACACCTTGGCAAAGAAGCCAGAATATTTTATTTGCTTCATCAACATCAGTGTATATTGTTTTGTTATTTTGTACTAAATTGCTTTTTTATAAAAACAAGTAAAAGGTTGACATTTTTCTCATGTACCAATCATTTCTATTTTATGTAATGTTTAAGCATGAAGAAATTCACATTTTCATATAGTTTGGATGAGAATATTGATGATTTCAGAAGCAGACTATTTCAGAGGCTCATTTTCTCTGTATATTTCATAACTTTTATGAATGAGAATAATGTCCTTCATAAATTTGTTTAATTGAAGTCATCTACTTGGAACAGGACAAATACACAACTATTTGAGGTTTACAAATTACATCTTTGATAAGGGAAATGGTTTCGTGACATGTATACAATTGCTATTAAAATGTAACTATATATTCTATATGATTGTAAATATTTTATACAACAATACAAATAAAATATTTTTCTATTATATTTATTATGTTGAAACACAGTAGTTGTTTCCTGTTAGCTAATATAAATAACATAAATAACACTGTCAAACAACAAGTTGGAAGTGCTGACAATTCTAGGCTTCAAGATTTAACTCATGCTGCAATTACACCCTTTCATGCAGTTTGGAGTTATCCCAATATTTGTTCAGTAGATTAAAATGAATGCACATTTAAACACCATTTATAAGCCATTATTTTGTATTTTGCTAAAGCGGTCTATAATTGTTTTGTTATGTTTGGCATAAAGTAAAAATAAAAACATTGCAGCATCTAGGCAAAGTGTCAGAAGGAAAACATCATTGAAAGTAGTGGGAAAGGTGGGGAATAGGAAACACTAAAACAGCTCTGAATGAAATTTGAAAAGTGGTAGTTTACTTTTGGTGATAGCGGCATGTGCATGCTTCAGTGGAAAACATCTGATGATAAATGGATAACAGAGAATGGTCCTAAGGGAAGAAAAGGGGCTGAGTAAGAATAAGAAAAGTGGTCATTAACGTCCAACACTGATATTACAGGTTTTGCAGCTGGGATCTTTCTTTGCATTTGCGGTAGACAAACTCATGAGCTGATGACCAGTGATCTCTGCCACGGTGCCCAGAGAAAGATCCACAGGGTCAGTAAAAATGACTTCTAAAATGACATCCTGGGCGTGGTGGTAAACCAGCACCCCATCTTCTTCTGTACAGGTCAAAAATTTATTATCCTTGGAATTGAGTTGCGGAAGGCGCAGCTTACAAAATTCATCTCCTGGTGATCCCACAGGGGCAATAACAAGAATCACATAATGATAAGCAGTGTACATACAGTAGAAGTCCCCAAAGTATAGGTTAGTGTTGGGGTTAAAAAGTTTTTCCGCTGCAATCTCAAACCTGTATCTTCCATAAGGTGAATCCTGGGGTGGCTTCCCAGTATTGAATTCAGTGCTGCAGCTGAAGAAGATGCCTTCTAATTTTCCACTGATAGGAGAGCCATGGCTACCACTGTTATCCTTGACAGAGGGCTGCATAGCATTCCCATGGTGTTCCCTGGAAGAAAAAAAGAAATGGTAATTTTAGTATAACAGTGGTAAACTTATTGATTTATACGTATCAATGATCCAGGTATAAGTCTTTTACTGCCAAAGGCCTGATTGCTTATACTACTATTAGACCAAGAGAATGCATCTTTTTCTATCCTTGAACCAAACTAAGGATGATCTACTACAAACCTGGAGATATTTATTGGACACAATAAATTTCCTTGACAGAAAAAAAAAGGAAACCAAAAGCAAACAAGAATAGCTATACTCATATAAAGACTTTATATAATGACCTCCTTTGACATTTTTAAATTTAATGAAAAAACAATCATTTTGGTAAGAAGAAAATTGTAAAAATACATGTACCCCATATGGGACGACTCAAATATATAAAGCAAATATTAGAGCCAAAGGGAAAGATAGATTCTAATACAGTAATAGATGGGGACTTCAATACCCTACTTTCTTCAATGGACAGATATGACAGGAAGTCAAAAACCAAACATTTGAAATGAACCATAGTACAGAACCAATCAACCTAACAGTTACAGAAATTTCATCCAAGTGCAGCAGAATACACACTTATCAGTACAATATTTTCCAGGATAAATCATATATAAGGCCACAAATCAAATCTCAATAAATTTTAAGAATCTGAATTCATATCATGTATCTTCTCAGACAATTAGAGAAAACTATAAATCAACAACAGTAATGGAAAGTATGCAAATACATGGAAATTGAATAACGTGTGTCTATATGACCAAGAGGTAGAAAGAGAAAATAGAAATTAAAAGACAAAAAAATTAAAAATAATATATCAAAATATGTGGGATATAGCAAAAGCAGTAAAGGAAAGTTTACAGAAATAAATGTATACATCAAAAAAAAAAAAACCCACAAAAACAAAAATCCTGATCTCTAATAACCTAACAGTTCACCTCAAGAACTTACAAAAGAACAAATGAAACCCAAATTAGTAGAAATAACTAATATCAGAGCAGAAGAAAAAATAAAAACAAAAATCCCAAAAGATCAATGAAGTAGGTTTTTTTTTTAAAGTATAAACAAAATTGATAAACCTTTGACTACACTAAGAAAAAAAGAAGACCGAAATAACTAAAACCAGAGATGGAAAAGGAGACATTACAAGTGATACTACAGAAATACTAAGAACAATTATATGTAAACAAACCCCTGGGAAGCCTAGAAGCAAAGAATAAATACATGAACACATACAATCTACTAATATTGAGTTAAAAAGAAACAAAATCTAAAAAGATCACTAATGAGATAGAAGCAGTAATCAAAACTCCCATCTAAAAAATGGCCAGGGCCTGATGGTTTTAATGCTGAAGAACAACTAATTCCAATTCTTCTTAAACTATTCAAAACAAAAGGAACTTTGCCAAACTCTTTACAAGGCCAGCATTACCCTGATATCAAAATATAAAATACAAAAGAAAACTAGATTCATATCCCTGATAAACATACATGCAAAAATTCTCAATAAAATACTAGCAAACTGAATTCAATAGTACATTAAGCAGATCATATACCAGGATTAAGTGCAATTCATCCCAGGGATGCAAGGATGGTTAAACACATGCAAATTAACACACAATAAAACACAACAGAATGAAGGAAAAAAAAACATGATCATTTGAAAACATGAAAAAATAACATTTGAGAAGACTCAACATGTCTTCATAGTAAAAACTCTCAAGTAAGGTATAGAAGGAACATACCTCAAAATATTAATGGGCATATATGAAAAACCCATAGCCAATATCACTGAATGGGTAAAGCTGACAGTATTTCTTCAAAGATTAGGAACAAGTCAAGGTGTCCACTTTTACTACCTTTATAATATAGTAGCGGAAATCTTAGGAAGAGTAATTAGGCAAGAGAAGTAAAGGGCATCCAAATTAGAAAAGAAGAAATTAAATTATCCATGTTTGTAGATGACATGATTTTAAACACAGAAAAACCTAAATATCTCATCAAAAAGCTATTAGCACATTTGAATGAATTCAATAAAGTTGCAGGATAAAAAATTAACATAAAACATGAACATTTTTATACCAGTAATGAAAATGCTGAAAAAAGAAATTAAGAAAGCAGTCATATTCACAACAGCTACAAAAAATTAGAAATTTAATGTAGTAAATTATCTCTATAATGAAAATTATAAAACCTTGTGAATGAAATTATAGAAGACAAAAAATGGAAAAATTATACAGTGTTCATGGATTAGAATAATATTGTCAAAATGACCTTAATACCATCATAAAGGAATCTGTAGTTGCAATGCAATTTCCGTCAAACTACCAAAGACTATTCACAGAAATAGAAGAAAAAAATCCTCAAATTCACAGGGAACTACAAAAGACTCAAAGCAATCTGGAGGGAGAAACACCAACATATTATTATTATTATTATTATTATTATTATTATTATTATTTGTGGTGCTGGGGATTGAACCAGGGCTTTGTGTGCTATATCCCCAGTCCACCAATACCTTATTTTAAAACATACTATTATATTAAAGTAAAAAAACAATGATCCTGGCATAAGAAAGATTCATAAACCAATAGAACAGCATTAGAGAACCCCCAAATTAATCCATGTTCATAAAGCCAACTGATTTTTGACAAAGGCACCAAGAACATATAATAAAGAAAAGACTGCCTCTGCAATAAATGGTGCTGACAAAATTGTATATATACATGCTGACGAGTGAAACTAGATCCCTTCCTCACACTGTACCCCAAAATTAACTCTAAATGAATCAAAGACCTAAATGTAAAACCTGAAACTATGAAATAAGAAAACATAGGGGAAACACTTCAAAACATTGTATAGGCAATGGTTTTTCAAATAGGAACCACAAAGGCACAGGCAACAAAAGTGAAAGTAGATGGGATTATGTTAAGTTTAAGAAGTTTCTGCACAGCAAAGAACATAATCAACAAAAGTGAGAAAACCTACAGAATGGGAGAGTATCTGTGAACAATTCATATGATAGGGGATTAATATCCAGGATATATAAGGAACTGAAAAAAAAAAAACCAAAACTCCCCCCAAATAATCCAATTAAAATGGCAAAAGAGCTAAACAGATACTTCTCAAAAGAAGACATACAAATGGTCAATGAATATATTTAAAAAACACTCAATCTAATTATCAGGGAAACACAAATCAAAACCACAATGTGGTATCTCACCCTACTAAGAAGGGCTATTGTCAAAAAGACAAAAACTAACAAATGCAGACAAGGGTGCAGAGAAAGGAGAAAGCTTATATACTGTTGGTGGGAATGTAAACTAGCAGTCATTGCTAAAAACAATATGCAGATTCCTCAAAAAACTCAGAACTGGTATATGATCCAGCAATTCCAATACTGGGTACATAGCCAAAGGAGATGAAATCATTCTATCAAAAAATACTTAACACTCCCATGTATGTATGTATGTACGTACGTACTTTTGGAACTGGGGATTGAACGCAGGGGTGCTTTATCACTGAGCTATATCCCTAGCCCTTTTTATTTTTAGAAAGTGTCTAAATTGCCCAGGCAGATAGAGAATTTATGATCTGCCTACCTTAGCCTCCTGAGTCAAGTCACTGGGATTACAGGCATGAACTACACCATGCTCGGCCCATGTATATTTTAAAAATATTTTATATTGGTGGGTTAAAATCACACATATTCATTGTTACCTATTCATATATGCACACAACATAATTTGGGCAATTTAATTTCTCAGTACTACCTCATTTTCTCCCTTTCTCCCCGCAGTTGTCTTCTTCTACTCTACTGGTTTCCTTTCTGTTTTCAGATGATTCCCTTTCATACACACATTTTTACCTTTTTTTTTTCTCTATAGTTTCCACAAATGAGGGAATACATATGACCCTTAACTAAGTTTAGTTTATTTCACTTAACAAAATGTTCTCAAGTTCTATTCATTTTCCTATAAATGACATTTTCTTCTTCATGGCGGAATAAAGCTCCATTGTGTATATAAATCACATTTTCTTTATCCATTCATCTGTTGACAGACACCTAGGCTGTTCCACAATTTTTTTTTTGTGAAATATGCTATTATAACCATAGGTATGTATGTATCACTATAGTATGCTGATTTTTAATTCTTTAGGATAAATACCAAGGAGTGGTATACCTGGGTCACATGGTAGTTTCATTCCTGATCTTTTGAGATACCTCCATAGTGATTTCTGCAGTGGTTGTACTAACTTAAGTCTCACCAACAGCATCTGAAGGCTCCTTTCACTGTTCCTATCCTCACCAGCATTATTATTTGTAGTCTTGATGATCATCATTGTAACTAGAGTGAGATGAAATCAGTATCATTTTGATTTGCATTTTCTTAACTGCAAAAGATGTTAAACATTTTCTCATATATTTTCTGGCCTTTTGTATTTCTTCTTTTGAGGAGTGTTCATTTAGTTCATTTGGCTATTTATAGATATATTGTTTTTTGGTGTTTTGAGTTCTTTATATATTCTTGATATTAATCCTGTGTCAGAAGAGTAGCTAGCAAAGTTTCTCCCATTCTATAGGCTCTCTTTTCATGCTCTTAATCATTTCCTTTGCTGTGCATAAGCATCTTAATTTGATGGCATTCCATTTGTTAATTTCTCATATACTTCCTGAGCTTTAGAAGTCCTACGGAGGAAGTCATTGTCTATACCTATATGTTGGAGTGTTGACTCTACATTTTTTTCCCAGTGGTTGCAAAGTTTACAGTCTTATTCCTACCATTCTGATCCATTCTGAGTTGACTTTTGTGCAAGGTGAGGGTTAGGGATCTAGTTTCTTTCTTCTAAATACGGATATCTAGTTTATCCAGCACAGTTTGTTTAAAAGTCTGTCTTTTTCCCAACATATTTTTAGCGCCTTTGCCAAGGATCTGGAGACTATATCTGTATCATTCATTCCCATGCTTATTGCAGCATTATTCACAAATACCTAAAATATAG